ATTCGTTGTAGACATGTAGTTTCAATATAATGCTTTGTTTTTATTTTTGGCTCAGAAATTCGCTGAAAAATTCGAGTGTCCGGGGATGCCCGTCGTCCGAGGCTACCCGAACTTCCCCTATGTTACGATAATTCTTCCTCTGCGATTAATTATTTCTTGCATGTGTATCTTTAATATTGTAATTTATTTAAAAATGAAACGTCGCGCAATGCGACATATCTTAATTACATATTCACCTTTTTAATTTTTTAGCGTACCGTAATGACGTAATATCCGAGCATACATAAGTTAAATGTACATCCTAGCAATTCCACAAAACATATCTGATGTAAAAGTGCTTCCATCCGCGCCACGAAGCTGTAGATAAATTAAAGTCATATTTTTACATATATAAGCATTATTTTCTTGGAACTAATTTATATTATTGAGAGAAGAAAAAGAGAGTGAAAAAATAAATTTTTAGATTAACTTAAGGATCAAAGACAAATATAAAAAATTTCATTTTTTATTTATTAAGTACACACTACATACAGGAATATCAACTAAGATATTTCTTAAATTTATATCGATATTACCTTAACACTCTCAGATGGTGCTCCACAATGATCGCCAATCGATGTTGTACCATGTTTTGCTGCTTTTGATCGTCCAACTGGTCCAACCATCTCATCAATACATTTAACTGTCCGCACGCGTGCATCGCAAACACCGCCGCGAGACTGCAGGCGCCAACCGTGACGGAATTGACGACGATACTTGAGATGAGCTGCAGCGTTAACGCAATCTCGCCCGCTGGGCTCCGCGTACTATCTACGAACTTACTGTACGAAGGACACGGTAAAATATGCACTGATACGCTCATGTTCCCGATATATTCGAACGTCGGTGTCGTACCCTGGAGTACGCTATGCGAGAACACTCCGCCATGCATGAAAATTGCACATAGCCCGGCAACGAAACGGCCAACTTTAGCATATTTCAGCATCACTTGCCGGTCCCCGATCTCTGTCACCGTTCGCCAGTCAGTTCTCATGTGCTCCACGCAACGATGTATATCGCGGCTACGAAACAGCAGTGAGAAGTAATTTATGCCGCCCATGCACCAGTGACTTAATGGACCAACAGCTCTTAATTTTTTCTGCACATCGGTCTCTTCGAACAGGATGTTCAGGATGCAAGGTATGACCGTGTAGGCTATCAGCGAGTAACAGATGATTATCAGTATTGTTGAAATCACCTTTTCTCTGACTGTTGTCGAAGCTGAACTTGGCCAGGCGCCAACCGGTTTTAGAAACCAACGATTCAACTGAATACTGTAATCACTCGCATCACGGTATGACATAACAGGTTCACTGACATTCATAGTTGCTCACGGAACGCGCGGATACTACTGAATCGACTTAAACGCACCAACGCACGTGCAATTGATAGAAAGTGGCGCCTGCGCCAGCGAGCAACTTAGTAATAGGATATTTGTGCGTCTCGTCAATCGATCGATACTTATGGAATACGCTGCACGGGATGTCTCGTAAATGAATTGACTGTGACAGATAGTCGCGAAAGCATTAATTTACTGTATTTGAATATAAGACTTATATATATAATTCAGAGATAAGTTTGTAAACTTTATTATTAGATGATCATATTAAAGGTTGAAACGTTTGTCTTGTCATTTTCTACATTGATTTTTTAATATCGATATATTTAATAGCCAAAAAATCACTTAAGCTCGGCTCGAATATCTTAATTTATTTATTATTTGAATTTCTGTGCTCATCACAGCTCTATAGCTTATTTAATTGTTAATAACTTGTATTTATTATTATATTTTCAGGATATAGAGATGATCTAGATAGAAGATGTCTTGAATTTTATTAGTAATTTATATAATTATTCAAATATAAGTAAAGTTACGGTGGTAACTAGAAAATTTGTTAATGTTTTGTACAAAATGGTAACTTTGTACAAAGTGTAACTATTATTGTTTAAGAAGTTGTCATAGTCCGAAGCATGTTTAGATATATCATGGAGGTTCTCATCACCTAAAACATTTTGAGCATATATTGTATTTGACTGTAAAAACGTAACGTACATCTTCGTGCACTCACATTACCAAAGGTTTCGATAGAAAGGTGAATTAGTTTCCCTGCAGTTAATTTGATCACATTACTTGATCGGGAAATAATTAAGATCAGATCACGAGCTGTTTTATGTGGCAAATGATACCAATTAGTCATGTAAGCTGTTTCGCCTACTTGTTTACACTGTTAAATTATTTATTTTAGGATATGAAAAATTGTGATAATTGCATATATTTGGTTTATTTAATTCATGAATATTCTCGAATATCGCACTGTAAAATTTTAATTTTTATTTTAATTTTATATAAATTTATATTTTACCTGCTCTGTGACTGTTTCACCAATGTAACAGAATATGAAAATGTTGAAAGCCATGGATAGATATATAATACAAGTTATCAAACAATCCATTGATAATTTTGATTCTAATATACTCCATTTCTGAAAATTTTCAAATAATGTATTTTTACAATTTATAATACATATAATTATTAGTAAAATATTATTAAATATTATTAAAAATTTATCAAATATATAATAAAAACGCAGTGTCATAGTATATTCATAGCGACTTTATAGACGATAAACATATATTTTATTTTTATCGTCTATATTCTACACTGTCATTAAAATTAAATATGCACGAAAAATTACATTAACGATATGGTAGTATTGTTTGCTGATCACGGTCACGTGATCACAATCACGGTCCGATTTCATGCTTATACTCGTGATCATTATTTATCTTTGTTTAAAATTTAATAAACAGTGAGAATGAAATCATTACTATTTTATTTATTGTATTTCATAAATAATAAAGTGAAATTACAAATAAACTTATTTTTAACTAAAATATGCAGTAGCAATAAGTTATGTAATCGGAAATCACAACATCAAAGATATCGACGCTTTTTGTCGCATAGTATTATATTATGGCAATGTTTTTTTCGCAATTATTTTTTGCATGTGCGTCTTTCATATTGTAAGTTATTTAAAAAGAAAAAGTCGCAGAATGCGATATGTCTTAATTACATATTCACCTTTTTAATTGTTTAGCGTACCGTAATGACGTAATATCCCGCCATACATAAGTTAAATGTACAGCCTAGCAATTCCACAAAACAAATCTGATTCAAAAGTGCTTCCATCCGTGCCACAAAGCTGTAAGTAAATTACAATTATATTTTTACACATAAAGACATATAAACATTATCTTTTGGTACAAAATTATATTATTGAGAGAAGAAATAAGAAGGCAAGATAAGATAAATGTTTAAACATAAAAATTAAAAAGAAAAATCATAAGGGATTTTATTTTTTATACAGCTCTCTCAAGCAGGAATATCAACTAAATTTCGTATATTTATATTGGAATTACCTTAATATTCTCAGATGGTGCTCCACAATGATCGCCATTCGGTGTTGTACCGTCTCTTGCTGCTTTCGATCGTTCAACTGGTTCAACCATCTCATTAGTACATTCAACTGGCCGCACGCGTGCATCGCAAACACCGCTGCGAGACTGCAGGCGCCGACTGTGATGGAATTGACGATGATGCTTGAGATAATTTGCAGCGCTAATGCGATCTCTCCCGCTGGGCTCTGCGTGGTATCTACGAACTTGCTGTATGAGGGACACAGTAACACACGCACCTTCACGCTTACGTTTCCGATACATTCGAACTTCGGCGTGACACCTTGCAATACGGTGTGTGAGAACACGCCGCCATGCATGAAAATTGCGCACAGCCCGGCGACGAAACGGCCGACTTTGGCATATTTCAGCATCACTTGTCTGTCCGCGATCTCCGTTATCGTCCGCCAATCGGTCCTCATGTGCTCCAAGCAACGATGTATATCGCGACTGCGAAATAGCAAGGAAAAATAATTTATGCCGCTTATGCACCAGTGATTTAACGGACCAACAGCTAGTAACTTTTTCTGCACATCGGTCTCTTCGAGCAGAATGTTCAGGATGCAAGGTATGATTGTGTAGGCTATCAGAGCGTAGCAGATGATTATCAATATTGTTGCAACTACCTTTTCTCTTACTGTCGTCGAGGTTGAACTTGGCCAAGCGCCCACCGGTATTAGAAACCAACGATTCAACTGAATACTGTAATCGCTCGCGTCCCGATATGACGTGACAGATTCATTAACATCCATGATTATTCGCGAAACGCGCGGATGCTACTGAATCGACTTGAACACGCGTGCAGTTGTCAAGAAGTGGCGCCTGCGCTAACGAGTAACTTAGTAATAGGTAATAATAGGATATTTGTGTGTCTCGTCAGTCGATCGATACTCACGGAGTACGCTACACGAGGGATCTCGTAAACGAATTGACTGTGACATGCAGTCGCAAAAACATTAATTTATTGTATTCAAATATGAAACTTTTATATATAATTCAGTTAGGTATGTAAATTTTAGTTATTACTATATTTCGTTGTTTTTCAGAAATATTTAATAGTAGAAAAAGAATATTTTCTTCTTGACAAATAGCCGTAGTCTCAAAGGGGCACTGTTTTTATAATCACTTCTCTCTTGTAAGAGATATTTGTCTTTTTAATGTTAAGAATATTTTTTGTTTTTTAAAACGCGACGGTATCGAACGTGCCTTTAAAAAATATCATATTAATATTGTATATTTTTAATTCTAGCTGCACACACTGGGATCCCCGGAACCCCAGCGCAACTTTCTAAATCGAAATTTTTTCGTATTTCTAAATTTTTCTTTTTCTTTGAACTTATATATCTCGAAGTTCCTTAATTCGATTTTTACACATTATGGGCTTTCCTTAATCAATTTTCCATCGATTGAAAAAAAAATTAATTGAAATATATCAATTTTTATGGAAGTTACAAATATAGATGGTCCCAGGGGCACCCGTGTGTATATCAAGAGTGCGAAAAACAAGTGTATACAGCTAGGGATATATCTATATACATATTTGCAATTTATTATTTATTCAATATATCGCTATTATTTCTCTATTATATCGCATTTGTTCTATAAAAATATATGTTCGAACTTAACGTATGTAACTCACGTAGTGGGAGTCATCGTTCGTAATATATTCAAATATACCACAGAAGTTTTAATTACCTGAAACAACAAGGTCTTCCTTCCTATTTACGATATAATTTTTCTTCTTTTGAGATTAAAGCAGTAAAATGTTTTAATATGTATATGTCGCTCATGAGATTAAATACAGAGAAATGTAAAGGAAAATTTTATAATAATTTGTAGAAAATGTATCGAATTTTTATTTGTACAACGTCATTATAAATACGGTATTCGTTTTACTTACATCACCAAAAGTTGCGATAGACAATTGAAATAATTTTCCAGCGGTAATCTTGATAACATTACTTGATCGCGCTATTATCAAAATGAGACCAAGAGCAGTTTTGTGCGGTAATTTATACCAATTAGTCATATATGCCTTTTCGCCGACATTTTTGCACTAATAAATAAATTAATACAGATATTTTAAAGTTTTCTATATAAGCATTTTTTATGTTTTCAAAAATGCGGAAAAAATTAAGAAACGTATTCAAGAAACTAAAAGCATTGAACGATTTTTTAAACATAGAACCATCAAATTGCAATATTCTTAAGCATAATAATTCAGATGACTCGATATAATCATCATCAATTTCATTGGAATTACCTGTTCTGTGAGAATCTCGCCGATGTAACAAAATATGAAAATATTGAAAGCCATAGATACGTATACGATAATATACGATGTTATTCTTGCGGCATCAAAATCACTCCAATTCTGAAAATCAAAAAAATTAGATTTAACATTTCATAAATAAAAAAATTATAAAGTGCTGATAGCATATATTCACCTTTTTAGATCTTTAGCATACCGTAATAGAATAATACGCAAGTAAACACATATTCATCGTGCATCCCACCAATTCCACAAGACAGATGTTTTGCATGACATTCTCCATTCGCGATATAAAACTGAAAAGCATACACAAATCCAACGTACTTTTTACATTTATGTATATAAAAATACATGTTTGAATTTGATGGATGTCTTCGCACACATTTCTCACACAAATATGTATTACGAATATCGTAGTATCGGTAATGACTAATACGTGATTAAATTGTGTCTTGTATGATAAAAACGCACAAACGCAATTTAATTTTTATATTTAAGTAAAATACCTCAGCACTCTTAAATGATGCTCCACAATCGTGGCCAGCTTCTTTTCGGCAAAACTGTTTCCCTTATCCTCGTCTTCGACGAGATCGTTGAACCATGCGAACAGCATACTTAGCTGGCCGTAAGCATGCATTGCGAAAACTGCCGCGAGGCTGCAAGCACCCACTGTAATCGAGTTCACTATAAAACACGACAGCAACTCTACAGCCAGCATGATCTCGTTCGCGGGGCTGAATCTTGTGTCTATAAATTTGCTATATATCGGACAGGTCATCGGGTGCACCGACATAGTTTCGTTACCGATGATTACATTCATAGATGTCATCGCCTTGGCCACGGTGAAGAGGAACGTTCCGCTCTGCATGAATATCGCGCAGAATCCGGCGACGAAGCGGCCGATCTTTGCGTATCGCAACATTACATCCTGATCGTCGGTCTTGCGAACCAGCCTCCAGTCCATCTCCATGTGCTGCACACATTCGCGGATGTTGTCGCTGCTCGTAAGGAGCAACCAATAATTAATCGTGCCCATGATCCAATGGCTTAGCGGACCCATCGCGTTTAACTTCATCTGGACATCTTTTTCTTCCAATGACACGTACAACATGCATGGTACCATAACGACTGCTATCAGGGACGAGCAAGCGAGAACATGTGCTTGTAGGGAGACCCTCTCCATCATCGTCGATGTAGTTGTTCGTGGCCAAGCTGCGATCGGCATTAGAAACCAACGGGTAAGTTGAAGACTGTAATCGTTATTACTTCTATACGTGAATTTGATGCTCGTCAGTATACGCTCGGAGTACATCGTGATCGTTTCGCGGATGCGCACGTTGCACTGACCGCGTCGGACGGTGTACCTGTTAAAGCTACGTTCGAACGGGCGCGTGCGCGAATCTTTAGAGCGGTTTGAAGAACGGGCGGAGTAATGTGCGCTTCTCTCCTGACAGAGACGCATGAACATGTGATCGATAATTGCTGCGGAAATGTAGCATTGACCTTTTGGACGGAGAAAATGCACGGAAATTATGTAAGTAGTGGCGTAATATTAGTTCTGTTAATTTTCTTCTGCTACTGTGTGTAAATATGTGAATCGTAATATCATACGATATGTAAGATATATTAATAAAGAACATCAGGATCTCTCTTATTTAATTGATATGATGTTTCGTATTTACGAATCGGTATATTTTCATCTTTGTTTATACTAAACGTTAATCTTTAATTTTGAGAAAGTTGGATGACATGCAACTTTCTTGTTCATTTAAATAGCGTAATTATAAAAATATTATACTGTGTTCAACATAATTTCTATTTATTAAATAGTTCTACTATATTATATACTACCAGTTCTATACAAAATATATTTTTTACGTTTTCTAATTTAGTATAATCACGCAGAGGTTGACATCGTTCGCAACATATTCAAATATATCATGGAAGTTTTAACTACCTGAAACAGCAACGTCTTCCTTCCTATTTATGATATAAATTAAAAATTCGGAAAATTTTAAGATTAATTAAAATAAGTTCGAATTAATATGAGGTAAGACCCAAGAATAACTGGAATTCGAGTGCGGCGCGCGAACTGGACGTAGTAGAGCGTTATTCCATTAGAGGACGCATGTTCTGGATTGACTGATTTCGTGTTTGAAAGCAAATTTGGCTATTTTCGTGATTGTTGTTAAAAAAAAAAGAATAGAGAGTTGCGTGAAACTTTGCTTTTTTGGCGGGAAATCTGCAATCGAAACTATTTCAATGCTTTGAAAAGCTCAGCTATAACAATGAGAACAAGCTTCAGGTTGAAGTAAAGGGGGGTCCTAAAAATAACTAGAATTGTTTAATAAAATGTTTTATTATTTTTTGCTTAAAGCTTCTTCCTTGAAACATTAAAATATTTTTAAAAATATATTTGTTCAAAAGAAAACAAAATTTCACGCACATTCTCTGTTCTTTTTTTTATCGATCATCATGAAAATCACCGAATTTGTACGCAAAGACAAAAAAATATAGCGACAAAGAAATCCTGTACAGCACAAATTGCTGCAATATTGCAGCGTTATAACAATGTTCTTTTGCAAGTTTTTGTGCCCCGTATGCGATCAGTCAACCCAGAATCACACCACGTGACAGACTTTTTCAAAATAGTTTCGATTTGCGACCCCTAATGACGCAACGAATTACTACGTCTAGATGGCGCGCTGCACTTAAATTCCGATTATTTTTAAGTGTCTCTTCATGTATGATTTTATTAAGAGGATCCTAAAGCGAAACTCTAACTCCGACAAAGTCACTGTCGCTGTTTTTTCAGCGCACATGTCTTTATATACTACCACACTAATATCTCACGTAACCTATGATACATTCAGTCGCACATTCGTGTCAATTTTCGTATAACAAATTCTCCGCGATAAAACGTCTAAGACTAATTCTAAGAACTCGACGTTATTTGTTCGTGCAAACTACGTATTTGTGGATCACTATTTCGTAAGTACAGGTTGCAAAACTTTTGTATCAAACAAATCTTGTCACGACTTGACAGCTTGTATTAATGAGACACGTATTAATGAGTATACTTTAATACTGGAAAAGGATTTTCGAATCTGTGAAGGAGAAAAAAAGTATTTGTTATACAAAAATTACATGATTTAATTGGTAATACAGACGGCTTTAGGATCCCCTTAAACGGAAAAATGCAATCGGTTTAGGAACGTTAATAATAATTTTAATAAATAATTATAAAGTAAATAGAATTATATATATCAATTTTTTATTAATGCAATTCTTGTCATAAATTTAAATGTATTACTTACATCACCGAAAGTTGCAATAGACAATTGAAATAACTTTCCAGCAGTCATTTTGATGACGTTACTCGATCGTGCTATCACCAATATAAGTCCAAGAGCAGTTTTATGCGGTAATTCGTACCAATTAATCATATATACTCTTTCGCCGACATTCTTGCACTAATAAATTTAAACTTTATTTTTTTATTGATGTTTAAACATAAAAAATAGTCAAAGAAATGTTACAAGTTTAACGCTAAAGTTAAATATACAAATATAAATTTTCTTGAATGGTTGTCAAGTATTATCTTAACTTGGCCTTTCAACTATTACCTGTTCTGTGAGAATCTCACCGATGTAACAAAATATAAAAATATTGAAAGCCACAGATAGGTATATAATGACATATGATATTGTTTTTGCCATATCAAATGAATCCATATTCTGTAAAACAAAAGTTTAAGATTTTTAGTTAAACAATAACGAAGAGTATTATTTTTCTTATTTTTGATATTCTATATTAAAAAATAATTAAAAGTTTGATATTTTATAAGTAATAAAATTACAGAATACAATTATATCACATATTCATTTTTCACATTTTTAGCGTACCGTCATAAAATAATATGCAAGTAAACACATATTTAGTGTACATCCCAGCAATTCCACGAGACAGATCTGTTGCATAATGGTTTCCATACGCGATATAAAACTAAAACGTGTGCAATTGTAGCATATGTGATATATTTCTTTTCAAATTTATAAAACGAGTGAGCTTATGTGAAGCTGTTAAATGTGTGGTATTTCTGTGAATAATATTTTAATAATATTTTCATGAAAATATGCAATCCTCGATATTTAAACAAAATACCTTAGCACTCTCAAGTGATGTTCCACGATAATAGCCAACCTTTGTTCGGCGCATTCGTTTCCCTCTTTATCCACGACGAGGTCGTTTAACCACGAAAACAGCATGTCCAACTGACCATATGCATGCATTGCAAAGACTGCGTCGAGACTGCAAGCACCCACCACGACAGAGTTCACTATAAAACACGATAACCACTCTACACCCATTATGATCTCATTCGCGGGACTGAATCTTGTATCGATAAACTTGGTATACATTGGGCAGGTCATCGGATGCATCGAGACAGTTTCATTGCCCACGATGACGATGGTGGTTGACAGCGATTTAGCTATAGCGAAGAGGAACGTGCCGCTCTGCATGAACACCGCGCAGAATCCGGCGATGAAGCGACTGATTTTGGCCTGTCGTATCATTACCTGACGATCTTCGACTTTCCGTACAAATCGCCAGTCCGTTTCCATGTGCAACACGCACTGACGAATATCGTCGCTACGCGTAAGGAGTAAACAGTAATTAATCATACCCATCGTCCAATGGCTCAACGGACCTGTGATGTTCAATTTAATCTCGATATCTTTCTCCTCCAGTAGCACGTATAACAAACATGGCACCATGATGATCGCTATTAAAGATACGCAAGCTAAAATGTGTATGTGCGAAAAGAATCTCTTCACTTTTGTCATCGTGCTCATTTGCGGCCAAGCACCGATCGGTATCAGAAACCAACGAGTCAGTTGAAGACCGTAATCATTATCGCTTTTATAGGAGAACTTGGCGTCCCTTGTTACATGATCGGAATATGTCATCATTTTGCGGAAGGTAGCGGAAGGCGCACGTGCACTGACCGCGACAGACGGTGCACCGGCTGGAGTTACGTTCTATCGAGCGCCTGCGCGAATCTTTAGCTAGAGCGGTTTGGTGAACGGATAGGGTGATGTACTTTGTGAGAGAGACGCGTGCACGACTGATCAATAATTGTTCGCGGAAGTGCTGCGTTGATTTTTTGCGCGAAAAACGTACCTCGAAGGGATTACAATGTTTCAGCGATATTACAATATTATATTAAAAAAATAAATATGGAAAGTTATTTCAAATTGCGGATTGTGATTTCATCTGCATCGCAGAGGAACTGTATCATCATGATCTTATATGAGACTACTATAAATGTAACGTTTATACACAAATGAATTAATAATTAAATATAATATTTCTTAATATATAAATTTGTTATTTAAGTGTCTTTATTTAAAAATACTATACAAATAAACAAATATTAAGAGATTCTTCTAGATCACATGCAGATTCACGTTGTAACAGTTCGTAACATATTTAGGTAAATGAGGGACGTTTTAATAACCTAAAATGATGAAGATCTACTAAAAAATTTAAAGAGAAGTCTATTGAAAGAAAGATACTCACGTCACTAAAAGTCACGAGAGAAAGTTGAACCATTTTTCCAGCAGTTATTTTGATTACGACACTCGATCTTGATATAATTAGGATCAAACTCATGGCTGTTTTATGAGGTAAACGATACCAATCGGTCATATATGCTATTTCGCCAACTTTTTTACACTAATAAACATTGCACCGTTAAATATGCAAATGTATTAACTTGTTAATTTTGCGCCAATAATATCGACGTTTCTTTACCTGTTGCGTTAAAATTTCACCTATATAGCAAAATATAAAGATATTAAAACTCATGGATATGTACACGATAATGTATGCCACTATGCCCTTTCTGTCAATCTTATTCCACCACTGAAAGAACCATAATGTATGAAAGATAAGTTTCTTGAGATATAAATTTTTTAGATGTTACTAAAGTCTTATTAAATTAATTTCAACTACCTTTCTACTATATTCACCTTTTAAGATGATTAGCGTACCGTAATGGAGTAATATCCAAGCATACATAAGTTAAATGTGCATCCAAGTAATTCTACCAGACATATCTGATACATAACGTCTTCGATGCTTCCTATGAATCTAAAGTCAAAACTTAACACAATCAGTAAAAAAATTTTTTGTTAAATATTTGTAAGTTGACATGTATTATATAATATGATAAAATTGAAATAAACTTTATAATTAAAAATTTTGTTCACAAGAAGGAATATTACTAGTTTCTAAATTAAAAGAAAA